GTTGTTTAACAAGTTACGTCTCGACATTGCCGTTTTGCCGGGTAGCAAAATAGAGGTGCTAAAAAACAGACAATATGCCATGAAAGCAACCTACTCTCATCCAAACAATACAAACGTCCAGAAATCACATTTAAATAACGTCCGTTTCAACTGCTCTATAATAATTAGCACATTCAAATGATTGCTTTTATGATAACTTAAATTTATCCTTATTTAAAATTTTATGTTAAATTTTTTTCCATGCAAAATTAATAAACACGGTAATTAGCTCGTCATATAGTATTTTTGCGACAGAAACGATGCGTAGTGCTAATTAAATATAATTCTTACTCCTATGCACGTGCATTGTCCTCGAGCTTGGGAGGATCGTACAATCTAATTACATTTTATCATAATTCATTCTATTACTCATTTCTTATATCATTTTATTTCTTATTTTGACAAGTAAAAAAAATGTTTCCATTGTTGTTGTTGCCATTACAACGAGAGTTAGCCGTTTACGCTCAGCTTACTGTTTGTATGCTGAAATTCTATTTTACATAGTTCAAATTAGTTTTAAAATTGAATCTATGGAGTTAAAAATTGCGAGGAAGATGGTGATATTTTCGAAATTTAATTTTAATAAAGTTGAATATTTTATTTTAATAAATTCAGTTTATAATGTTAAATCAACTAAATGTCCATAATGTAATAAAAATATTCGTTAACATTGAAGGTGCACAAAAAATACCACTAACTCAAACAGTAACGTTGCACATTTAAATGTAAAATCTGATGTAAACATTTCGCCTAGCAGTTATAATAGAAGCCTAGCAGTTATAATAGAAATTCTGTGGATAATTGTTTATTTAATTTAAATGATAATGTCAACATTATTATTAAAAAGTAATTTAAATATATGTTAATGCGAAACAAGTTGCAAGAGCAGGAAAAGGCTTATATAAAATGACCTTTTTTACTTTTCAACTTATTTTGTCTTTGTTAAACACATTATCATTATCGTATTAAAAATATCTTTTGCTAATATTTATCATTCATAAAAGCTAATTTTAAATAATTTAAAACTTGAAATTTCACTCAAAAAGATTTTAATAAAGTATTTTTTTTAGAGTTTTTGGTACTACCGTTGATCAGTTGAGAATTGCACTATAACTGCGAATTTCAATGATTAACAGTCATTCAAAGCTAATTATTATCCTAACAATCAATTTATTGCTGTAGCAGACGCTTAAATTGCAGAGCTTGTAAACAAACCTTTTTGTTTTAATGAAAATGTAAAATTTGACAATAATGTCGGTACATGATGCATGTGCTGCAACTTTCATTAGACAGATATCCGTGAAAGCGACTACGGAATTTTTTTGCCAATTAACTAATGATGAAAAATGTTAAAAGTTTTATTATAACGCTTATTTATTATTAACAGATGCGCCAACACAAGTAAAATTGGGCATATATGTCAACAGTTTTTATTCCATCAGTGAGCAAAACATGGTTAGAAAATTATTTCTTCTTGTCATTTATTCATTAAATGATTAATTTTTATTGTACCAGTCAGTTAATAAAAAAAATAGTTCTCAATCAGAGTCGTAAAAAATAGTGGCGTCTCTAGGGCTATTGAGGCTTGGAACGGAAATATTTGGGAAGCCCTTCAATATATATACATATATGTATATACATATATATAAATATATATATAATATATATATATATATATATATATATATGTGTGTGTGTATATATCTTGGAAGAAGACCATGTTTTATAAAAAGTAGACCTATTGTATAAATTCCACCTAATTGAATAATTGAATACCTAATAACTAATTGAGCTAACACATGTTGGTGGAAAAGATTACGGGTTGCATATCAACAAAGACAAAACAAAGGTGATGATTACGGGAAAAGGCAGAAACAATGCGGAATTTCGGATAGAATCAGAAAAACTCGAACAAGTAGACCGGTTTGTGTATCTTGGCAGTCTTATAACCTGTGACAACAACTGCACCAAAGAAATTGACAGAAGGATAGCAGTAGCCAATAGAGCCATTAGCCATTAAAGCCATTAAAGGAATATATGCCATTAAAGGAAATATGAAAAAGTGGAAATATATCTATAAAAACAAAGTTGAGTTTTCCGAGCTTGCTCTATGCATGTGAGACATGGACAATAAAGAAAAGAGACAAAGACAGATTGGAAGCATTTGAGATGAAGTGTTACCGAAATTTGTTGGGAATCAGTTGGGAGTAGAAAGTAAAGAACGAAACCATCAGAAATTAACTTAGAAGACAGAAAAGTGTATATGACGAAGTCAGAAAAAGAAAATTGGGATTTTTTGGAAACATTTATAGAATGAGAAAAGACAGATTGATTAAAATGGTACTAATGAGGAAAAAAGATTGAAAGAAAAAAATTGGTAGACCTCAAAGAAATGGATAGATGACATTACTGAATGGACTGGTGTTGGTATTCTGAATTCAATAAAACTGGCCAAAGATAGAAAAGGTTTTTGGAAAGAAAAAAAATAAAATAAAACTAA